GCGTGGCCGCCCGCTTGCTGGGGATTCTCGTCATGGCGACCTGGGCGAAACCGGTGGCGTCGGGGCGGACGCCCGCTACGCCCCCACGCCAGGGGACCATACCCTGGTTGTCGCAGGTATGGTCGCGAAGAGGATGGGACTTCTCACCGCCGCCCCGGCCCACGCCAGCCCTCCTGGGCGGGGGGTTGGACGAGGACGCCCATTGGGCGGCCGCGGCCGGTATGCAGCATTCGCTGGTTGGCTGGCCACAGCTGGAGCCCGGCCTGGAGGCGGTCATCCGGTTTCGTCGGGAGTGGCGCCACGACCTCTCCCGCATTCGCGCCGAGGTGTTCCAGGAGTTACAGGAGATGGTCGACGAGGCCGCGGAGGACACGACCGCCTGGCTGGCCACCCTGCCCCCGCACGTGCGGGCGACCTACGAGACGAGTGATCGGCCTCGCCCTTTTCAGGGGCTTATCTTTGACCGCCTGCTGCGGGGCCTCGGGTACCCGGCCACAGACGACCTCCGCCAGGATGTGGCCGAAGGCTTCGACATGTTGGGCCGAGTCCGCGCCTCCCCGGGATGGAAGCCACGAGCTGATGGGCGCTATGCTCACCCCGAAGGGCTGGAGAGACTGCGCCGGGAGAACCCCCAGTATGTCGCCAGGAAGTCGGCTCGCCCTCGAGACCAGGAGCACACACAGGCGCTTCTCGACGAGCTCGTGGCGGAGACCCTCTTGGGCCGGGTTACGGGCCCCTGCGCCGCCCCGGGACACTGGTCGACCACCACTACCGCTCTCCCGTCGGTGGTGGGGATGAGCACCCTTCGTCAGCCCCCGCCGGGGGACTGCTTCGCGGCCCTCTCCTTCGCCATCTGCCAGGTCGACGAGCACGGCGACCTCAAGCTACGCCGGGGCGAGGACTGGCGCCGGTCGGGGCACAACGCCACCATGGGGGCGTCCGACGTGCCCACCCACCACTTCTTGGGGGACATCGTCGACCTGATTCTCCGGGCCTGGGCTGAAGGTTGGGACCCCGTGGTCTTTGGCCACGACCTTCAGAACGCCTATCGCCAGTGGGCGGTCCGCCACCCGGGGCACTGCGGCACCTTCCTGCCGATGTCGTCGGGGGTGACGTTGTGGTTCCACTTCGCCATGTGCTTCGGCGCAGCGGCGAGCGTGTGGAACTTCAATCGCGCGGCCGACGCCGTGCAGATGCTCCTCAGAGCGCTCCTCCTGGTCCTCCTCGGCCACTTCGTCGACGACTTCAACGGCGTGGACTCCTACGACACGGCCGAGTCCGCCCACCACGCCGTCGCCGACTTCCTCGCCCTTCTCGGGCTCCAGACGAAGCCCTCCAAAGCCCAGGCCCCGGCCACTAGGCACGTGGTGCAGGGGGTCGACCTCTCCATCCGCCCAGAGGGCGTCGAGCTGGCGCCCACAGCCAAGCGGACGCAGAGGATCCTGGAACAGATCGACGGGGCATTGAAGGACGACTGTTTATCGCCGGATGCCGCCTCGCGCCTGGCTGGCCGCCTCACCTTCCTGTCCCAGTCCACCTTCGGGGCTACAGGCCGGGCGGCTATCAAGCCGCTCTACTCCAGGGCGGCGGACACCGCCGCGAACTCTGACGACACACTGTCGGTGGGCCTCCGGTCTGCCCTCATGGCACTGCGGCGCCTGGTGGCTTCGTCGCGTCCGCGCCTGGTGCCTTGGCCTGGATGTGTCCGGGGCCCCTTTCCGGTGATCTACGCGGACGCCTTTTTCCTCGACGGGGACCTGCGGAAGAAGCCTGGACACGTCGGACCCGGGGAGACCGTCCCACGGGCGGCCAGGTGGCAGAACGGCTGGGGCTTCGTCCTGCTCCTCGAAGGTCACGTCTTCTACGACTACGGGGTCATTAAGCCGGAGCACCTCGCCCCCTTCGCCGCCAGGAAAGCCTTCATCTACGTCTTAGAGATCGTCGCGCAGGTCCTCCCCTTGGTCACCTTCGCCAGGCGCCTAAGCCCCTTCTGGATAGCCTTCATCGACAACGTCGCCGGGCAGTTCGCCCTGATGAAGGGCTACGGCAAGGACCCCTCGGTCAACGGCATACTGGCCTCTTTCTGGGGCCTTGCTGCTGACCGCCAGTGGTCGCCCGACTTCCATCGGGTGCCGTCGGAGTCTAACGTCTCCGACGCCATCTCCCGCGGGGACGATTCCCGCGCCAGGGCCGAGGGGTGGACACGCGTTGCCACCCCAGTGGACGACATCATGGACGTTCTCGTCAGGGCGGCCGGCGACATTGACTTCGCCTGCCACGTCGCCCCTGAACGCCTTTTAGATTTAGCGGTTTGGTAGGTGCCGAC